ACTGGAAGAGGATCGCCTCATGGCAGCTAAGCCAGAAACTGATATTTACTTTGCTGGTTCTAGCTCGCATGGAGTTTCGGGCTCCAAGAGGAAGCACCCTGCTGGGTCAAAGAAGTGGAAAGGCAAGGGGCCAAGTCCTTCAGGGAAGAAGCCGAGGCTCAACCAACGGGAGAAAAGAAAGCGTCCTTTCAAGAAGAACATTTCAAGAGTGAAATGTTTCAACTGTGGCAAGAAGGGTCACTTTGCTCGCGACTGTGGCGAGCCAAAGAAGGTAGAAACCCTTAGCATTCATAAAAATGCTACTTATGTGTCTAGTTCAGTGTTTCTAACCGAATCTAATCCTTTGTGGACTGTAGACTCGGGAGCCACAGACCATGTAGCGAAGGACAAAGAAGCTTTCGTGGAGTTTCGACGAGTTCCACAAGGAATGAAGTGGATATACGTGGGGAACAATTCAAGAGTGGAGGTCAGAAGCATTGGCACCTGTCAACTACTTATGCGCGGTGGACGCACATTGTTCCTACATGATGTGCTATTTGCTCCAGAGATTCGTCGGAACTTAGTTTCGGTGTTGGTTTTCATTTAGACTTGGTTTTAATGTAAACTTCCATAACAATGGTGTAGACTTGTGTTTAGGTACAACTTATTATGGTTCCGGATATTTTTTAGATGGTTTCATTGTATTAGATGTTGACTATTGTGAAGTTAATGTTAGTTATTCCTTATTTACATCATCTGATTCTTATGAAAATGATGTGAACGTGTGACATGCTAGACTTGGTCATATTGGCCAACAAAGAATGAATAGATTGGCTAAAGATGGCTTATTGGGCAATATTAAAAAGGTTGATTTGCCCATATGTGAGCATTGCCTAGAAGGAAAAACAACGCAGAAACCATTTGGAAAAGGAACAAGAGCTGAATTTCCTTTGCAGCTAATCCATACTGACATCTGTGGTCCAATGAATGTAAAAGAAAGGCACGGGTCTATTTATTTCATCATATTCATTGATGATTATACTCGATTCGGACATGTCGATTTGATTTCTCATAAGTCCGAGGCTTTAAATTGCTTTAAAAGATTTATGTGCTTAGTGGAAAATCAATTAGACAAGAAAATAAAAGCATTAAGATCCGATCGAGGTCGAGAATATCTATCTGATCAGTTCAGAAATTTATGTGATGAAAAGATAATAGAAAGACAACTGACTATTCCATATACTCCTCAACAAAATGGTGTTGCGGAAAGAAGAAACAGAACATTAATGGAAATGGTTAGATTAATGATGGCACATGCTAACTTACCAATCACCTTTTGGGGTGATGCTTTGTTGACTGCTGCCTACATACTTAACCGTGTGCCTTCTAAATCAGTTGCTTCTACTCCATATGAGTTATGGACAGTTAGAAAGCCTGATTTAAGCTTTCTAAAATCTTGGGGTTGTGCTGCCTATACTTATGAGTCTTCTCACAAGTATGGAAAATTAGGCCCAAGAGGCAAAAAGAGTATTTTTATAAGATACTCAGAGCACTCAAAAGGATATGTATTCATAGGTGAGCAAGAAAATGGAAGTATAACTGAATTTGAATCACGAGATGTCACATTCTTAGAGAATGAATTTCCTAAAAAGGGCGAAACAGGTGGTGCTTACTCACTATACGAATCTGTGGATCGTGATAGTGAAGTTAGTGAGAGCATTGTGACAAATGGAGAGTTGAATGCAACCCAGTCTCAATTGCAACCATTTAAAGAGACGACACCATCATTATCTCATTCGAGTGGGAACGCAATAGAACGTGGTGAATCATCAGGAGTACAGCATTCCATACGACAGTCAAGTCGTAATAGGATTCCCCGTCGACGTTTTGACATTGAAGGAGAAGCTTTCATGATCGCCCCACAAGATGAAGATGAGCCGAAGAATGTGAACGATGCTCTAAAGTGCCCTGATGAGGAAGAATGGATACATGCAATGGAAGAGGAAATGGAGTCATTAAGATCATACCAAGTTTGGGAATTGGTTGACCTTCCAAAAGGACGCAAAGCCATTGGGAACAAGTGGGTTCTCAAAATAAAGCATAAGGCTGATGGCTCAATAGAGAGGTATAAGGCTCGCCTTGTGGCGAAAGGATATAATCAATAGGAAGGAGTTGACTTTGAAGAAACTTTTTCTCCTGTGGTTAGATTTACCTCTATTCGCCTTATTCTGGCAATAGTAGCTAGTATGGATCTTGAATTATATCAAATGGATGTAAAGACTGCATTCCTCAATGGAGAATTAGAGGAAGAAATTTATATAGAACAACTTGTTAGTTTCATTACAAAAGGCCAGGAGCACAAAGTGTGTCGACTATTGAGGTCGATATATGGCCTTAAGCAGTCTTCGAGACAATGGTATATACGTTTTCACAATGCATTAATGGCATATGATTTTGTAATGATTAGTGAAGATAATTGTGTATATATCAAAAGATCCAAAGATCAATTTGTGATCTTATCATTATATGTTGATGATATACTAATTGCCGGAAGCAGTATGGAGTTGATTAATACAGTCAAGAATTTGTTATCTTTCAATTTTGAGATGAAAGATATGGGTGAAGCTGCATACATTCTTGGAGTTAAGATTTCAAGAGATCGCTCAAAGAAATCCCTATCCCTTTCACAAGAGACGTATATGAATAAAATTCTTGAGCGATTTTGTATACAAGACTGTAAACCAATAGATACTCCTATTGCAAAGGGCGAAGCATTAAGCGACAGAATGTGTCCTAAGACTTCACAAGAAAAGGAGCAAATGGAACAAGTTCCATATGCAAGTGCTGTCGGAAGCTTGATGTACGATATGATGTGTACAAGACCTGATATTTGTTATGCAGTTGGAATGGTAAGTAGATACCAATCCAATCCAAGTCAAGCACATTGGATCGCTGTCAAAAGAATCCTGAGATATCTAAAGGGAAGTGCCGACTATGCGCTGACTTATCAAGGAAGTGATCTACACCTTGAAGGCTATACTGATGTTGACTGGGGAGGAGATTTAAAAGAAAGGAAATCTACTTCTGGATACGTGTTCTTACTGAATAATGGCGCCATATCTTGGAGCAGTAAGAAACAACAGTGTGTAGCCTTATCTACAATGGAAGCCGAGTTCGTGGCTTTATCAGCAACGGCACAAGAAGCTGTTTGGCTTAGAAGATTTTTGGATCACTTAGGTGTTACTGAGAATGCTGCAAACCCAGTATTGGTCTATTGTGACAGTCAAGCAACAATAGCGTACACTAAGGATCCCAAGTACCATGGAAAGACCAAACATATAGATATCAAGTATAACTATGTCAAGGACATGGTTGCACGAAAGGAAGTGAACGTGAAGTACATATCTACACAAAGGATGATAGCAGATCCTATGACGAAGCCGATTCCTAGAGAAGTTTTCCATGGTCATGTGAGATCTTTAGGACTGTGTAGAATATGATGTACTGAATATTGTAATTTTCTCAGAATGTTCACTATTAATGAAGTTTGTTATTATAAATGCCTATAAGTTTGTATGACGTTTGTGAATGTCGATGCTGAGTGCATTATATTGAAAAGGTATGTCGGACAGATGAGAAATTAGCCCACTCACACGGGTAATCGCCTCTACTCACTATGTGATGAATAGAGATGAGACAGTTTTAAGCTTGTTATCTAGGTGATAATTGAGAGCTCAAGCTTGAAGTATGGACGTCGCCTTAACAGAATGTTAAGATGAGGACACATAGATTATTATGTCCGAAAGTGAAATGACCAACATATTTCACTTTACCTGTTTTTAATGCCAGATGTGAGTTCTGATAGATACTTATGAATAGAGTAGATTTGTGAACTCAAGTTAGACATTGAATATGTCTAAACTATCATCTGTACGGTATTGAGAGTAAAGACATACGCTCTATGGGAAAAGGAGAGAATACCGTAATACGTATTTCATATTACGTATGCATGGAACGACCGATAAGAGTTGGCAAAAATTTATGATCTCAATTTTTTAAGTCGTGTGAGACTCTTCTCAATTAAAGTGCCCTCACGACTCTTACTTATTCTCAAAATTTCTATTCAGTGTTTGCTATCTTAGGATGTTGCCGATGATCATGATAATTCGGTCTAACGGGGCATTTCTAGAAAAGCGAGTTGGACTGAAATGGAGAGGTTTAAGGAAAGAGGAAGATCAATTTAATTTATGATGTCACATTCTATATTTGTATTCACAGGTCGACCAATTATGATTTTAAGTAAATCATAGTTGTGAATACAATATACGAGATACTAAAAAGAGATCAAGAGAGATAAAAAAATGTGACTGATTGATCTAGGGAACTGCATACTAATCCTACTCTGGATAATGCCCGAATTTGAGCTGTTATATATTCCTAACAGATGTATAACAACGAGCTCTCGTAGTATACTGGTTGCACGGATTATTTGCCAATATGAACTTTGCAAGGAAGAGAGTTGTGTTTAGCCCATCGTGGGCGAGTGGGAGATGAAAGACATAATGGGTGGACCGCCCAAGATGGGCCAAACCCGGCCCATGAGCCACAAGGGCCCACGAGGTAGTTATTTGCCTATCTATAATAGAAGGCACCCCTTGAAAAACTGACGTGATTTTTCCATAAGCAAACACACTCCTTCGAATACGTCGTTTTCTCTATTTTCCTTTGGAACGCACACGAGTACGAAAGACGATCGAAGAACTCTCAAGCACAAAGTGACACTTAATCTGTGACAATACCGGGTATGTTCGTTGTGTAATATGCCTGTACGATCGGTGATACAAGTTGATGGTCCTCGGGCACATTTTCCGCATTGATCGAATTCGTTCCGAATATGTTTCGAACGCGACGATCGGGGATTGAGTTTTCCTAACAAATTCAATATTTCAAAGCGGTGCTCAAGGTCTGACCATCTTCCAGAGCTTGATTACATAGGGCAAATTTTATCTCTAATAACGGACAACTTCCTGAGCTCTACCCCCATGTAGAGAGAATCGGCCTGATCACCTTTAAACAGAAGGAAAAAGTAGCTCCTGTGAACTAATGAGACATTGCATTCCTTCCGCAGTTTGACGATCTCCTTTTGCAAGTTTTTGAATTGCGAAAACCTTTCCAAAGGATATTCAAGCCGACATCCACAACATGTATGTTGACTAAACTTCCGTATCTAAAGGTAGTCACCGCATACAGAGTACCTTTTCCCAAATATAAAAGCGCTATACATTCCAGTGAATGGTTCTCAAAGCTTACTAGCATGTCCACATCTAAGTATGACAAGACTCATGGAGGCCAAAACCATAAATGCGCAATATCACCGCATCCGGCCATCATTTCTCATTTGTACAAAGAAAGCTAGCTTTAAAAGAGTCAAAACTTTCTTATTTTTCCATATAAAAAACTTTAAACACCAGAAAGCCATGGTTTCTGTACCTCGTCCATAGTATGTTTTCCAAAAATAGTAAATAACATTAAACTCGTGTGAATACTTATAATGAATGTTGTGAATGTTTTAGCGTACTTCCGCATGCGTAATGTTTATTATGAAGATAAACGGAAAGGACACGTTTTGCACGTAACGTTCGGGGAGTCACAAAGCATGTCATTATCATGTAATCATTGAATAGAATGATGAGAAATGAAAAGAGATAAGCATGTCATTATTGTGTAATCAGTGAAAGGCATGAAAGGAGGTAAGCGTGTCATCATCATTACCCACGTATGTGATCATTAAAAGGGTAAGGTAATGAATTGTATTAAGTGATGCTGTGTATTGGACTTTGATTATTGAAATGAGTGTTGAATTTGTTGTTGATGCAAGAGTGATCATATGATTATAACGTTACCATGTACACTGTTGCTATATGATTAATTATGGAAAGTATTATAAAAAGTAATATTCGTTGCCCTTATATTAGTGGTGACGATGCCCCCGAGTTGGGATGCCACGTATGTCGAGATGCTCAGGAAAGTGTTCGAGATGCCTCAGGAGTCGAGATGTCCCGTGTGAGATGCCCCAAAACATCACGCGCGACATGTTTCTTTTCCATTATTTCTTCTAATAATTAATAGCATGCGGAAGCACGGCAAAATATTCACAACATTCCAAACAAGAAATCGCAAGAGTTTAATTATACACATGTTTCTTAATATTAACACCACAAGTTATCGAATTGATGCAAATACAATACATTACAAAAGTTTTAGGAAGGTCGGGTCACCTAAAGCCATCTCGCCGCTCCTACACCATAAAAACTTATTTGTATAAGGCCATGCTTCTAAACTATGGATTAGCAACCACGCACATCAACAACGTGACATCTGGAATTTTCAATAATAATATTTAGGTTATAAAGCCATGTATTATTCAGCTTAGAGTTCGGGTTAGCACGTAGAAAATCTTAGTTTGGTCGTTGATCTTGTGAGGTACGGAAAATCGCGAAGGATGATTTTCCTTGTCCGTAATCGTCCCGAGTCCGATGTGTTGGAATTAAATTAATGGATGTTGACATGTACGTTGATGGTGTGGAGTAACGTTAATTGATTTACCATCATCTTAATTAGTTGTCAATAGGGACGGACATTCTTTGAATTATATGCTTAATGATTATCAAGTTTTAGATTTACTAAATCGAGATTTTCCTAGCATCAGGCATTGTTTATCCATAATTTCAGCGGATTTAAAATGTCATCGGTTACACTATTTACTTTAACGATAGTTAATTAATATTAATAATGACTTACTTAAATTAAGGATGAGTCACTCACTTGACCGAAGGTGAATGATTTCTCTCTTACAATTGTCGCCTTTAACTATTCTTATTTAGTCACACAATAAGCCACTTGTTTCTTTTACATGGCATGTTAGGCCATTTGTCTCTTTAAAATTGAGACACTTATATATCTCTTGACACATAAGGTGAGCCATCATTACCACAAGTATTAGTCATCAACTCTTCTTTCCACTTGGCCATAATCTAGGTGAAACCATGCAGCATGTAATTATACTCTGAAGACAAACCTCCACCTAGCATTTTAGTTCAAATCATCACTTTTAACCTTGGTGATATGTGAAACTTATTTTTACCTTGGCCATATCCTTCTATCTTCAAACTTCAAAAGAATTTTTCCTCTAATATTCTCACATTCGGATACGTGGATTGAAAGGTAAGTTTTGATCTTTCAAGAGTTACAAGGTGGTTAAAGCTTTTGGTTGTTTAAGTTTTGTCCGAGGAAAGTAAAAATTCTATGCGCTAAGCTAGGTTGATGTACTTAGTGCTCTCGACTTAGTTAGTCGATTGTTTGCTAATTTTAGTTTTAATTGAAATTGATGGTAAATGTGAGCAAGCCTTGGTGGACGTGTATTGAGATGTTGTGTTGTTTTGGCTTGTATTGATGAGTTCTTATAGGTTTTCTTGAGGTGCAGTAGTAACTTGTGTCGCGAACCTCCCGAAGGTGAACCACCTGGGTTTCTAATGGATTACTAAGCCTAAACCTAGCTCGGGCTCTCCTAAATCCATACCAATTTGCAACTCAGATCAAGAAGTTTTTAATATGCAAATCATTTCAATTTAGGAATCGTCACTAATCTATTTTTGGTGGGTCGATTAGAAACTCGAGTAAAGTGTTGGAGGATTACTTTACTCCTACGAATCAGATATTAAATGAGTTTAGGGACTTGATTGTGCTATATTACTCTAACGCCCTTTCGGTACCATTTCATTTATTTTTGAAAATATTTAAGCGGACAGCTTGGATTGATATCAACTTAGACAGGTGCGTAACCATTAAAATAACAACCAATAAACAAAGCAAGCAAATTGCAAGAAAATAAAGAAATTGGACACACCAAAATAATCAAATATTTTTGGGGTTTTATTTTATTTTATAAAGTCTAATTTATATGATATGCGATTTAATAACATGCAAACTATATGACATACACATGATAATTTTTATATTTTTTTATTAGAATTCGAAATTAATAAATACCCTAATTAAACTACTTAAAAAGAATAGTCCTCTAATCTAGTTTAGGAATAATTTAACCTAAACCCAATGCTATATTAGAGAACACATTTTAAGCATGCACTATTATTTAAACATGCAAGCATTATCTAAATTATTCTATTTGCTAAGGAAAATCATACTTGGAATCTATTCTAACTTTTTCTAGAGTCTATAGCATGCAATCTTATTTAAACAAGTAATGTGATCTAGAAATCCTATCTAAACCTAACATGCAATCTTTTGTATTTTTTTAGATAAGGAAATAAATTAAGCAAAATATGCATTCAATCAAAAGATAGAATCCAAAGCTAAAGATAGCTTCCAATCAATTCAAATAAGGAAATATTAGCTAATCAACTTGATATTTTTGCGAATGAGGATCCTAATCTTAAGCTTTAAAGATCAAACTATCGACTCTGGCCACGCAATCCATAATCATATGTAAAGCCTTATAGATAGAATTACTGGTTATAAGCGCATTGCAAATTAGGAAATAATCCTAATTGGATATGCCTGTCACTCACAATATTTAAAGTTAGATATTGATAAACACGAAATGTGCAATAAAATATTCAAATTGATTCGGATGAGAATTTTACCTATTTTGCAGATATAGTTTCCACATTTGAATCAATGAATGATGGGTCACGAACGGTGGTGGTGTGGCTGATGGTGGCTCGCGGTGGTGCTCAGCCGCCTGGGGTCACGTCGATGATGGTCTCAGCTTGGCTTTTCGTGATGGCTGGTCAGTACAGTAGGGACTCGGCTCTCAGTTCTCAGCTCGGGTACTCTCGGCCAAGGGCTTACGATGGACATTTGTCAAGGTGGTCTCGGCTTAGTGGTGATCGACAAAGTATGCACGATGAGAACACGACTGGCAATGAGGAAATTAGCATTGAGAACAAGACGACATTATAGGCGTTCACAAACACCAATGAACCTGCACAAGGAAAAATTATAGGAAGGCTGCAACAAGACAAACTCATAAAAGTTGACTGGGAAATAACGTCGTCAATGCAGGGCTTAGAGTGCAAAACAGGTCACCATTTTGGTGCAGGAATTTTAGAGCAGCGACGTTGTCAGAGGGACTCAGAAGCAACAACAACACCATCGCCAAAGGTCGTGCTGAAGGATCACGGGCTTGGCTGGCGAGTTGGCTATGATTTTGTCGTTGGCAGCGGTTGGCGGTGCGTGGAAAGGCTGCTGGTGGACACCAGCGTTGGCAGAGAGGCCAGGATTTGCGGCCATGGAAGCTCGCAGTAAACGTTGGAATAAGACTGTAAGGCTCGGCTGAATCAGAGTGCTTGCTGGACTATTGCTGGGATTAGACTTCGCCTAGTCATTGGTGTAGAGGAGAGGGAGGAGGCGCAGCAATAGATATGGACACACAGGGAGAGAATTTTTACTCTCTTTCCACCTCAATCCATGGCTATATGAGCCATGTCATACCATGACTACACAAGTCATATCATCATATAATTTCATGTCATTTTAACCTTGTAGAGAATCGTCATACACGGTAAAATATTTGGTTAACTCTAGAATCTAATCCATATACTCACACAAGGAAATTCACTCAGTGGCAAATAGGTCGTGAAGGTCTTAATCACATGGCATTATTTATATTCCAAAAATTATAATATAACAATTATCATGTACATCCAAATAGTTTGTCATTTTTCATGTGTTAAAGACAAACAAATCATTTCACGTACTTTAACACATATATCCTGATTCATTTCTCATCATGCTATTATCAATGTAATAAAATGTTTTAGTCAAATACCCAAGTCAAAAACAGTAAATGGTCATAATTGAAAAGTGGTTATACCCGGCAAGGGGTATACTCGGTAGGTGGTCATACTCGGCAAGTGGATATAAGCTATAAGTGGTCATACTCAACAATTGGGTATAAGCGGTAAGTGGTTATACTCAGCAAGTGGATATAAGTAATATGTTGTTATATTTAGCAAGGCCGGTGAGGCTCACCGTGGCCGGCGACTGGCCTCAGGATAGCGAGGCCTCGCCTCGCCTCGCTAGATCTGGCAAGGCTTGGCCTTGCCTCATCGGTCTCGAGCTCGGCCAAGCATCGCCGGATTTGGCGAGGCGAGGCGAGGCTCGGGCGAGCTCGTCCAAGGTCGGCGACTGGCCTCGGGTGAGTGAGGCCTCACCTCGCTAGATCTGGCAAGGCTCAGCCTCGCCTCGTCGGTCTCGAGCTCTGCCAAGCATCGCCGGATCTGGCGAGGCGAGGCTAGGCTCGGCCTCGCTCGAGCTCACCAGCCATGGGAGGACGCGTAAGGCACCAGCGGGGGAGGAGCAGATGAAGCGCGAGGCAGCAGCGGAGGAGGAGTGGCTCTGGAGATCCGGCCATGGGAAGAGGAGGCAGCAGCGGAGGAGGAGTGGCTCTGGAGATCCGGCCATGGGAAGAGGAGAGGACGATGGGAAGAGGGGAGGACGGGAAGAGGAGAGAGGAGAGAAAAGGAAATCATTTTTCAATCTTCCCGTCCTCATTTTCCTCAGTTTTCAAAGGCACTTTTCGATTGACCGGAAAACATTTTCCTTGACCAATCATAGCGAGAATCTATGAAACAATGTTGAGGAATCAACATTGGATTTGAAAACCTCCCTGATTAAGTATGCCAAAAATTGTTCCCTGCATTGAGGTCATTGTCCATTATACATAACTATATCCAGTCATATAACAGCAACCGACTCGATCAAAGTAGCTCAAGAATCAAACATAAACGCCCGGTAAGAGGAGAAGAAATAAGGATCCGAATTTCTGCACCGGAAAGGGAAAATCTGAAATAGAATGATAAGCTCGCATGCACGAGACGTCTTGATTTGTGTCAAGGCTCGTGATACTACGAGCATGTACAGGAGATAAACAAAAGATATGATCAAAGCTGAGAGCCCAAAAACCACGGCTAAACTCACTAACAGTCCTGTAACAAGTATATATGATCACCGAACATTAGTTTTAAACTAGAATTACTAGAAATTGAACTCAAATAATTAATGGAAAATCTCACAACATATATTTCTTCCACTTCAACTTGCAAACTCTATTTACCGGTAAGCTCCAATTGAACATCATCCATATCTAACAAAAACAAAATTTGTCAGACTTATCTTTCATCTTTGCACCCATAGCTTTCATCCTAAGATCTAAAACCTTCTCCCCATGATTTAGAGGTTTATATAAAGTAGCTATCTCATTAAAATAATCATTCAAAATGATATATAGAGTCCCGGACATCTTGCTGGTGGCATCGTAAAACTTCTTCAAAAATATGGAAAGAATTTTGGCATTTTACCAATCTTCATGTTTTGGAGTTTCATAGTCAAGCCCAATCAAAAAATAAAAATCATCTTCTTCTATCATTTCAAAAGCTTTTTTGAACTCTAAGGCGATGTCTAACATGAGGTAAATGGAGTTCCACCTAGTTCTGACATTAAGACAAACTGAACCCTCATAAGTGATCATTGCATTCTCAATACAATCTTGGAATGTTTTAGCTTTCATGGGAGAACTCCTCACATACCTAACCATGTTTCGAATACGTGCGATAGAATCACGTACCTCAGTCAATCCATATCTCACAATCAAGTTTAGTGCATGCTCCGTGCACCTCATGTATAAAATATCACCATTTAAGATCAATAGCATATCTCTTGATACTTTTTTTTTTCAAAAAACCAATGGCAACATTATTCGAATTAACATTATCCATAGTGATTGTGGAAACTTTTTTCTCTATTTCCCACTCGTAAATGCATTTCTCAACCATTTTCCCAATATCTTTGCCCTTGTGACTAGGTATCACCACAAAATTCATGATTTTGTCTGTACAATTTTCAATCGTCATCAATAAAATGTGTAGTGAAACATAAATACTTCAAGTTCTGAGTGGAACTCCATGTAGTCGTGAGTATGGCCTTAGACTCAAGCTTGTGAAAGTAAGTCTTCAAACTTGTTTTTTCCACAAAGATACAACTTCATGCAATCTCTAGCCATGTAAATTGTGAGATGTGATTGAAGAAAGGTTGTATTTGATTAATACAATCACGGAATCTGATATACTCAACCATCGAAAAAGGTTGTTCATCCATTATGTTCATCCGACCAAGCATTTGCCTACAACAATACTGATCAAATTTCTATGTCAATAAGACATTAGCACAACCAGTACTGGTATGCCCCATTGTCATTTGAGTCGCATATACTCTATGTGCGGCAAATAATTTTTCTTCTTATCTATATGGCGAGGATACTTGTTGCACCTTTTGAAGTGCTTCAACATAGTAAAAGTACCGTTTTCAATACATTACGTATACTTGGCCCCGCAATAAATGCAAATCACCTCATTTTTCCCATTCTTAGTTTTGCCGTTACGAAAATGAAGCCGGATTGCTAATGTTCATTTACCAAAACTGCAAGGACAAGTATTAGATACCTTGTTTGTGTCGGATGTTTCTTCCAGGTCTTCTTCACCTTCATGTTCTAGTGAGTTAATTACCGGATTCATAGCATTATTGGATTTGTCCACTTCCATTGACATTTAAATAGATCACCTGAATTAAGCAAAACATAGATTGGAGCCATCAAATCGGAACACCCATCAAATTCAGCTTTTTTTCAAGCTGGGAGATGGATTCCTTGTGCAAACTAGGAATATCCCGTCAAACAAGCACAGTTTTACAAGTTTGATAAAATTGTTTTTCCGAGTACCCACGGGGCCAGACATGCATTCAAAGTACAAAAAAACCAAGGCCAGAAATGCATCATCTCAAACAAGCCTCGACATTTACCACCGGAAATAAAAAAGCATAGCCTGTTTCAAGTCATAGGCAAACAACTTGCATAACACTGCTAGAGAAAAACATAACCGCAAATAGCACATAGATGAATTTAAAAAATGAAAAACTGAACTGAAGAAGTCTGTGAATCAGCATAATGCGTGTAATCTAAGCACTAAATTTGAGGTCCGAGGCAATATTACACTAGAATCTCGAGCTTAAATGATCCAAATCAATTAGTATCAGCTCGCAGAGTCAATCAAACTCTCTAATTTACGCAAATATCCATTTGCAAACCTCGTCATTGCTCAATGAAGAAGGTAATGCGAAGATTAAGAGAGGCACAGATGGACAGAACCAAAACAATGCAAACCAGAAGCCAAAACATCGATATACTTCTAAGCAACAAAAATGAAGCATTCATATCTCGAAAACGAGCGATCGAAATCTAAGAAAAAGCATAAACTACAGAAAGTCAAGCGAGAAAAACTTACTGATTGTAAGAAATCAGGAAAGGGCCGTTTGTTTGAGACTGAGAATCTTGTGAGAGCCAGCGTTGTCAATGTCGAGCGAGGGGTGAGGTGAGAGGGAAATGCATCGACATCGAGCAAGAGAGGGGTGTGGTGAGAGGGAAAGGCGAGTATTAAAAGTCCAGAGACCATATTGAACAAATTAAAAATTCAGGGACCACTTTGCACATTAGGCAAAAGTTTAGGAATCACATTAAACAAATTAAAAATTTAGGGACCACAATACATATTGAGTCTAAATTTATGGACTATTTGTATCATTATCCCTTTGAGGAATGACGTCCATATTCCAACTGTGCTGTTGAAAAGATAAAGGGAAAACAAGATCGCGGAATCTTATTACCCATAAGACATCTCCAAGCAAAGAATGACCGAGGAACATGCTTAGCTTGAGGGACGAAAAAAGGGCAGGTTCTCATGAATTCCTTTATACCACTCTTTTAACTTTTTACTATTCTAAAATTCGAATGTTTACGCAAGATTCGCCAGAAGTAATAATCTTAGTAAGTGGACATACAAAATGCTGTGCTAGATAAGCAAGCCTTTACCAAAAAAAAAAAATGCTGTGCTAGACAATAAAATGATTGGTTCATCTTCAAGTCCGAATCTAGTGTCGCCTCTCTAATTCTCTGATCTTCGAGTCCAAACTTTAGCAAAATTCGATTGGCTTGTTAATTATTTAACCTACCAATGACAAAAGCACCGGATACTTTCTTGTCCCTCGGTCAAAATTTGGCTTAGTCAAGAATCAATCCGGAGGAGAGGCACCCGTTCGAAGAAAAGCACAAAACTGAACAAGATATAAAACACAATCATAAAAAGAACACACACCCCCACACACCATTCCTACCATGTAACGTATTTTATATGAGAACCACATATGATGTGGATATTGATATTATAAGACATATTCTCATTGAGTAAGTGTTCTTATATATGGACAAGTTGATAATGAGTGTCTAAGAACAGGCTTCACTTCTTCCTTTTAAGCGTATTGAAGATATAATTGATATCTGAGATGCAATTGAATTCTAAAATTTGTAAACATATAATATCTCTAGCAATTTGAAAGCCAAGTCCTTAATTGCCGAAATTCAGAAGGAAAGTAATGATTTTCTTTGAATTGATTTTAGTATTCTATATTAGATAAGATAAGCCAACGAGTGTTCTCATTTGATCTCACATCGCCGGTACTGGTAAAGTGTAATATTCTTAAGATTGGTGGAATTTCATCACACTAATTAAATTGTTGATCGGCCACTTTTACTTATCTCTGCAACTGCTGGTTCGCCAGTAGGGAATATGAGCAAAGTAAGGAATATTAAGATAGATCTGTAAGATTGTTATCTTGAAAGCACAGAATTTCACTTTGATTAGTTTCATCTTTATCATAATCATTGTGAGAGATACTTTCTCCCGTCTCCCGGTGAAACATGGCGCAAGCAAAGAATTAAACAAAGCTTGCTGTAGACAGCATAGGCCACACCAAGAAAAGCATAGAAAAATGAAGAATATATACATAGAGAATAATATGTCCTCACAAATTAATTCAATCCAAGCAAACAAGCCGATAGACCCACACACCCACACGACCTTACTCGAAACAAACATATTGATTACCGATGGCTGCTTTCAACACAAGAAGCGAATTGATGGTTGCTGAAGCCGCCGCGGTGACCATCGTGTCGCAGAAACTAGATGTCTTGATACATCACCCGGTGTTTGTGGAGTGCTCATCGATGCAAAGTCGCGCGATGGATGCCAAGGCAAAGCTGGCCAAGATCCAGGAGTTTTTTACCACTCAATACAGACAGTCCAAATCCACGGAGTGGTCGGGGAGGCTCCTCCGAGCCATGTACTACGCTGACAAATTCATGGACGAGTTCTACCTTAGAGAGGCCCGCGAGAGGCACGAGGCTCTCTACAGCGCTGCAAGGCCGCTGGCCGTGCTCATCTCCATGTACAAGCTGGGGAGGGACTTGTCCGTACTGGTGAAAAAGATGGAGGACTTGTGTGATGAGAAGTTCTTGAAGGAGGAGGCCGAAGGCAAGAGGAAAAAGGAACCTGCTAGTTCCTTCTCCCTTGCTAGTGTTCCATGGCAAGGCAAAAAATTGGCGAGGCTGACTAGTTTCTGGGATCAGCAAGCGCCTACAAACTTCTTATGTCGCGAGGTCCAGAAGAAGGAAATACGGAAGCGGATAGAAATAACAGGGAAGTACGAACGATGGAGTTCGATTTGGGGCGAGCAAGGAACCGGCAAGACGTTCCTCGCGAGATGGGCCTACAACCAAGCGAAGTACATGGGCTATGAGTGGCGCGCTTGGGTCCGTGTCTCGGCCGGCATGGACCCGCGGGAGTTCCTGTTGGAGATACTGAAGCAAGCCGAGAATTTAGAGAGCGACGTGAAGGACATGAATATACAGGAGATAAAGACAAAGCTGCACCGGAAATTGGCCGAGGTAAATAAATATTTCATAGTGTTAGATGGCGTGCAATCGTCCGACATGCAACTCTTGCAAGAGTTATATTGGAGCACCCCGTTATATTCACAGAGCCACATAATTACCACAACTCAAGACCGTTCGATAGCTGACTACACGAATCGTCGCACGGGATTGCCGATCAATCTAGAAAAATTGTCCAATGACCAAAGCCAGGAGATGCTTGCTTGGAAGTTGCATAGAGTATCCAATGGTCAGAGACTCTCAAAGGAGGAGAAGGGTATCCAAAACATGTGTCATGGCTTGCCGCTCTGTATATCCTTACTCGGCGGGTTTCTGTCTAATGCTAGAGAGCATGAACTCAAAGAGTTGGCAAAAAAGGATCCTACTATGACATTGTCATATATACTACTATTGAGTTGCCATAAATTGCCAGACCATTTGAAACCGTGCTTCATCTACATGGCTTTGTTCCCCGTATCTTTCCCTATTCCGACAAGAAGGCTAGTGAGGCTGTGGTTGGCTGAGGGCTTATTGGATTCGCATTGTTACGACATAGGAAGGAAAAGGACAAGGCAGCCCGAGGATGTGGGAGAGACCTTCATTCTGGAGCTCGCCGATAGGAATGTGATTGATGTGGTGAGCTGGAGGGCGGATGGATCCCCCAAAGCTTGCCAAATGCTCACCTCTCTGTATGACATGATCCGCCCGATCGCGATGAGCACGGGGTTCCTCCATGTACATGCCGCTAGCAAGTCGAAAGACGGGAACGAAGGTGACTCAACCAGCCAGCAACAACAGCCGGCGGCCCAATTGCGAGAAAGAACTGCGATCCGGTGGATTGCGGAGCACACGAACATAGTCACAGACGACCGCGGCGGCAACTACCCCGATTTGAACCTCAGCCACGTCTGCTCGTTTATGTCGTTCTACCAAAGGAGAGGCATGCTCACCAAAGACATCAGCATGTTTCTTGGGAAGATGACATCCAAGACTAACTATAGCTTCCTAAGGGTGCTCGATTTGGAGGGTGTGTATAAGCCATCCTTACATGGTGTGCTCCACAAGCTGGTGCTTCTGAGGTACCTAGGATTGAGATCCACGGTATTGGATTCGCTCCCGAGCGCTGTTGCAGATCTGCACCATCTTGAGACTCTTGACATAAAGCACACCAACATCACTTTGCTGCCGAGTTCCATCTGGAAGTTGAGGAACTTGAGGCACCTGCATCTCAATTGGTTCTATATCGACTTGAAGAAGATCCTCAAGGCTTGTAGCAACAATGTCAATGCCTTGACTCAACTCCAAACCTTAAGCGGGCTGGTCACCGGTGAAGTGAAGGAGAACTTGATGAGGGACCTCATGAGCAGCTTGACCACGCTCAAGCTTTTCTTGCAACACTCGGAGAAGGACCCCTCCTCGGGGGACGCAGGGGAAACAGTGGCACGTTGGATTAGCTTCGGCCTTACCAATCTCCAGTCCTTGACCTTTGGGGTGATCCAAGAAGCCAAGCCCGTGAAAAAAGCCGAGAAAGTAGCCAAGCCCGCGACAAAAGATAAGAAAGCAGCCAAGCCCGCTGAAGAAGCCCAACCTGCGACAGTCGCCGAGCGAGCGGAAGGAGCCGAACCCGCAATAGAAGCCCAGCCCGACAAACAAGACAAGCCCGAAAAACAAGCCAAGCCCAAGAAGAAAGCCAAGCCCCTCAAATCGCAGATAGGCCCGTTACCGAACCTGTCGTTGGGTGAAAGACATCACAACCTGTTGGAGCTCTACTTGCTGGGCCGACTCACCAAGCCCAGCTGGACACAGCTCTTGCCTGGCTCGCTCCGGGTTTTGACCCTGTCGGGTTCCAGGGTGAAAGCAGACGAGATGCACCAGCTGGGGGTTCTCTTGAGGAGCCTGCGGACGCTCAGGCTCTTGGCCAACTCTTTCCTGTGCAAAAGCATGACGTTCGTGCAAGATGGGTTTCCCAGCCTCAAGATCTTGAAGATTTGGTATCTGCCTAAGCTTGTGGAGGTGACTATTAAGAACGGAGCGATGCCGCATCTCATACTGCTCGAGTTTAGGCGCCTCGAGAGGTTGACAACTGTTACAGGGATCAACGAGTGCCGGGATTTGGAGAATATAAGCGCGATATCCCTAAGCGATGCTCTTGTCAGCCGACTCGAGGACCAAAAAGAAGAGACCACGAATCTGCATGTGGAAAAAGAGACCGAGACTACCGAATCTACGGACGATGACGAAGACGACGGGTATGGGACAATATTAAATCTCAAAAACTTTCCTTACGCCTGATGATGAAATTGTTTTTTTATACACTTGATAATTTCAATAATTATTTTTAAAAAAACTATATAAATCAGGGAAGAAAGAGGAGAGATTGAAAAGGACAGCAAGAGGCTTGAATCCACGGATGAGGACGACAGGTATGGGACTATTTTAAATCTCAAACATGTTCTTTATGAAAATTGTTTTTGTAGACTTGATCATTTCTTATGAGTGATTAAAAAGAAAGATTGTGATTTTTATCTAATAAGAATTACCTTCGCTCATTCCATCAGATTAAGTCGATATATATTACGAATCTATGAAAGCTACGATGAGTCCAACTAAAGATCACAATTTTTCTACACTGTAAACGATCACATCACTCGTAGAAATGAGTCCTTATTATACGTTTTCCAGTATTTATCACAATATAAAATCACGTGGGGGTATCATCCAACTTTCGTGGAATCTAGTGTTGCATTCAAAAAAGTAAACTTTGGAACTGACCTTACTCTCCATAGCTTACGCATGTTGAGTGAGCCTTTCACCTTTAGGAGTATTATTTACACTAATTAAGACCTCTCGTTTACGTTCTGTATCATGGTTTCAAAAAAGAAGCTTCTCATATATGAAGAAATCTACAAAGTTTCTTTTTTTTTTTTCACCTTTAGGAGTATTATTTGGAAATCTCTAGGCATGTGTAATAGGCAAAAATTATCAAAAAAGTCTTACAAATTCAGTAACAAATCTTTCAATTTGTACCAATTGAGTTTTAAACCTTTTGACAATTTATCAATTTAATTCTTTTGGACAATTTTGGGCGGAAATTGCTAACGTGTATGTCAATCATCTTACGTGGCACGATTGTTTTAAGTGGCACGGTCGATGCTAAAGTAGATAATTTATTAAAAGGAATTTCCAATTTATTTATTTTATTTATTAAAATTTCACTTCTTTTCTTTCTTTTTCTTTTTCTTTCTTTCTCCACCGATCGCTGGGCCTTGACGACTACCGGTGACCGGACACAAGAGAGGGCCGGCCTCGTGCGAGGCTGGAGCTTGCCCGAGGTCAACGAGGTCAAGTCTCGCTCGATCTCGGCAAGCTCGAGCCTCGCCAGCCTCGAGTGAGGCTTCACCTCGCCAGATCTGGCAAGGCTTGAGCTCGCCAAATCTCGATGAGGTTGCACCTAGCCAAATCCCGATGAGGTTGGCCCTTGCCTGTGGTCGTTTGCCGGCCGTTGCCAAGATCCGGCGACCGGTAGAGGGAGAAAGAAAAAGAAAAAGAAAGACAAGAAAAAAAAAGGAAAGAAAAGAATAAAAAAGAATAATAATTTTGATTTTTTAAAATATTGTAAAAATTATCCATGTCATGTCAGACATACCACATGCACATCAGCAATTTCCGGCCAAAATTGGCTTGAATGACTAAATTGACAAATTATCAAAAGGTTTATAACTCAATTGGCATAATTGAAAGGTTTATGACTGAATTGGCATCATCGCAATAAATTTAAAACTTTTTTGGTAATTTCTTATGTTAATTGTGCATGTGTAATAGTGTGAACCTTACTTATTTAGTGGTTTCTTGTTTCCTACAGTGACGACGATAATGAGGCAATGGCTTCTCTTTGAATACAAGCTACTACAATGATCTTGGAGCTTAACATATGTATCTATTGCATCTCCCACCCACTCTCTCTCTCTCTCTCTCTCTCTCTCTCTCTCTCTAGGTGTGCGAAGAAACAATTTCATGTAATGTTTATATTATGCGATGAACCGATGTGATGATATTCATTTAGTGCAAGATACTCTTTTTTCAATTCTATGTTGGCATACACTCGGTCCAATGAGGTAAGAAAAGCACATGAGCAAAAAAAAAAAAAGTGGGGGCTCACCATCGATGAGCGCATGCCACATGAGTCATGAGCTTAATAATTAAATTAATCAGCCACAGGCTTTTAAATGAAAACACATATAATACGATGGAAGAAATAGAAACATCATATATGAGTATAATTAGCACTAATCAGATGCCAATACCTATGTTGAAGAGCCTCCTGGACTGGTCAGAGGACTTGCAAGCCCTTATCTGATCATGGTAAATTTACTGAGCTTTTTGCTCAATGACCTGCATCTAAACCACGTATATAACACCGATTAAAAAGAAGCCATACTAGCTTAGACAGTTGGAGGGCGATTTCATCGCCATTCTGCAAAAGCAGAACTGTCCAAAACAAAGCTTCTCAAGAATGACATCACAGTACTTTTCCACCTATGAGATTTTGTGCTTGATTGCTGAGTGAAGTTGAGGCCAAACATCTCCTTGGAAGCTTCCTTTGGCTAAAAAAAAACCCCAACAAGCTTTGTGACGATTTTGGCACTCTCGGCCATGTTGTCCATATCTTTTGTGCGAGACCACAATCGGTGGGCTAACTGCGAACTTCTATGCTTTGAATTCAAACTGATCCCCTAAGTTTGGAAGAGCATCTTTTTATCTTTCCTGGTGAGCTTCTTCTGCAACCGCTTGGTGAGCATCTGCTTCTCAAGACGAAGATCTTGCATGTTGTTCAACACAATAAAATCTCGGACTTGATATGTTCCTACTCTGAATTTAACAAAAGCAGCTAGCGTTTCCTATTGTTTGAATTCAGTATTTCAAAGCGGTGCTCAAGGTCTGACCATCTTCCAGAGCTTGATTACATAGGGCAAATTTTATCTCTAATAACGGACAACTTCCTGAGCTCTACCTCCATGTAGAGAGAATCGGTCTGATCACCTTTAAACATTGGACCAAGTATATGCACAATCCTTGCTTTCTAGGTCCATTAGGTCACAGCTATGTAGAAACTCCCTAAAAGTATGGAGTCTATAGTGCTCGGCTAATCGTTTGCCCACCTTCTCCCAATGGTACATTATTTCGTTGAAATCCCCCAAGCAAACCCAAGGCAGCTGGTTGCTCTGGCTAATTTTATAGATTTCATCCCACGTCTTGGTTCTTTCTTGAAAAGTTGAAGGTGCATGTACAAACGTAACTCTCATCTTCGTTTTATAGACCTCCTCTTCACATTCGATATCTATTACTTCATCTGAAGCGTGTAAGATTGATAGTGCCGCATGAGCATTCCACAAAATTGCTAAGCCACCCCTTGTTCCCCTTGCGTTGACAATAAAGCATTCATCAAACTTCAACATCCTCCGTACCCCTTGGATCCTTTCTTCTCGGTTTTTTGTTTCCATAAGAAAAAGTAGTTCGGGCCTTTCCTGAGCCACTAGGGCTCTCAAATCTTGGACCGTCGGGAGGTGTGCCCAACCCCCGGCCCGAGTTCCGACTATGATTTTCATAATGGCTCCTGTGGCTTATTAGGGCTAGCCACCACACCCCATTTTCCAGAGACCTTCCACTTCACGTATTGGTGTTTCCAGCAGTTGAGCCGTCTAATAGTAACAGTTTATCCCCTTGAGAGTCATATGGGCTGAACCTTCTGGTTTTCTTCCGCACAGGAGTTTTCTTGCCACTTAGCTTCTTTTTGTTGGAGCAAGCTTGTGCCATGATGGAGTTCAGTTCCTTTGGAAGTCCTTGGTCACGAATCAAGAACTCGGGAAAGTTAACCTGTTGCTCACTTAGATCTTCTGAATTGCTCCTTCCCGAGAGTTTAGTTTGTGCGTTATCCTCCTCTCTTTGAGAAGTTTGCTGAATGTGGGTCGTGCTGCTCTCTCCATATATAACTATTTGTCCAGAGTGGGTTGGTGTTTCCGGGATTCTCTCCTCTTCCATCGGTTGTGCTAAGTCTTTGCTATGAAATAACTTCCGAAACGGACTATAGTTGCTTACTTCAGCCTTCAGCCAAGGGCCGAAAAGTCTGTCTTCCTCTATGTTCACATCCTCGACACTTAAAGGCAGCTCCTCACAGCCTCAAGCATAATGTCCTATTTTTCCACAAGAGAAACAAAAATAAGGGAGCCTCTCATATTTAAAATCGAGCCAAATTTTCTTTCCTTCATTATTAGCGAGCATGCCTGACTGTAGGGGTAGGTTAAGATCCAATGTCACTCGCACTCTTCCATAAGACACCATTCCTCTTGTTTCAATTTTAACTTCTTGTACTTGGCCTATATTACCAGCAACCTCACGAACAACTTCCACTGAAAGCCACTCGAAAGGGAGCCCCAGAATATGTACCTAGAAGTCACATGATTCGAATCTATAGCTTAAAGCAGAGGTGTTTGGTTCCCATGGTTTCAATATCAAGAGATTGTTCATGAAAGACCAAGGACCAAGGTCCATCACTTTATTCCTCACAGCTAGGGACTCAAAGGTTATGGCAAAAATACCCTGCTCTAAAGGTGTGAATACTGCACTTTCCACTCTCCACGCCCTCCTCATTGTGTTTTGGAGAGCTTGAAAGTTAATTTTTGGATTTTTTAGTAGTTGCCCTATTAGCGTCAGTCTACCATCCTTACCTTTTGCTGCTGCCAGAACACCTTCCACATTCTTAGTAACTTTGTCTGACCACAATGTTCCTCATCCTTCCGCAGTTTGAAGATCTCCTTTTGCATGTTTTTGAATTGCGAAAACCCTTCCAAAGGATATTCAAGCCGACATCCACAACATGAATGTTGACTAAACTTCCGTATCTAACGGTAGTCACTGCATACAGAGTACCTTTTTCCAAATATAAAAGCACTATACATTCCAGTGAATGGTTCTCAAAGCTTACTAGCATGTCCACATCTAAGTATGACAAGACTCATGGAGGCTAAAACCATAAATGCGCAATATCACCGCATCTGGCCATCATTTCTCATTTGTACAAAGAAAGCTATCTTTAAAAGAGTCAAAACTTTCTTATTTTTACATATAAAAAAATTTAAACACCAGAAAGCCATGGTTTCTGTACCTTGTCCACAGTATGTTTTCCAAAAATAGTAAATAACATTAAACTCTTGTGGATACTTATAATGAATGTTGTGAATGTTTTAGTGTACTTTCGCATGCATAATGTTTATTATGAAGATAAACGGAAAGGACATGTTTCGCGCGTGACGTTCTGGGCGTCACAAAGCATGTCATTATCATGTGATCATTGAATGGAATGATGAGAAATGAAAAGAGATAAGCATGTTATTATTGTGTAATCATTGAAAGGCATGAAAGGAGGTAAGCGTGTCATCATCATTACCCATATATGTGATCATTGAAAGGGCAAGGTAATGAATTGTAATAAGTGATGTTGTGTATTGGACTTTGATTATTGAAATGAGTATTGAATTTGTTGTTAATGCAAGGGTGATCATATGATTATAACGTTAACATGTACATTATTGCTATATGATTAATTATGGAAAGTATTATAAAAAGTAATATTCGTCGCCCACATATTAGTGGTGACGATGCCCCTGAGTTGGGATGCCTCGTGTCTCGAGATGCCCAGGGAAGTGTTCGGGATGCCTCAAGAGTCGAGATGCCCCGTGTGAGACGCCCCAAAACATCACGCGCGACATGTTTCTTTTCCATTATTTCTTCTAATAATTAATAGCATGCGGAAGCACAACAAAATATTCACAACATTCCAAACAAGAAATCGCAAGAGTTTAATTATACACATGTTTCTTAATATTAACACCACAATTTATTGAATTGATGCAAATACAATACATTACAAAAGTTCTAGGAAGGGTCGAGTCACCTAAAACCATCTCGCCACTCCTACACCATAAAAACTTGTCTGTACAAGGCCATGCTTTTAAACTACGGATTAGCAACCACACACATCAACAATGTGATGTCTGGAATTTTCACTAATAATATTTAGGTTATAAAGCCAATTATTATTCAGCTTAGAGTTCGGGTTAGCACGTAGAAAATCTTAGTTTTGGTCATTGATCTTGCGAGGTACGGAAAACGCGGAGGATGATTTTCCTTGTCTGTAATCATCCCGAGTCCGATGTGTTGGAATTAAATTAATGGATGTTGACGTGTACGTTGATGGTGTGGAGTAACGTTAATTGATTTACCGTCATCTTAGTTGTCGATAGGGACGGACATTCTTCGATTTATATATTTAATGATTATCAAGTTTTAGATTTACTAAATCGAGATTTTCCTAGCATCAGGCATTGTTTACCCATAATTTCAGCAGATTTAAAATGTCATGGGTTACACTATTTACTTTAACGATAGTTAATTAATATTAATAATGACTTACTTAAATTAAGGATGACTCACTCACTTGACCGAAGGTGAACGATTTCTCTCTTACAATTGTCGCCTTTAACTATTCTTATTTAGTCACATAATAAGCCACTTGTTTCTTTTACATTGCATGTTAGGCCATTTGTCTCTTTAAAATTGAGACACTTATATATCTCTTGACACATAAGGTGAGCCATCATTACCACAAGCATTAGTCATCAACTCTTCTTTCCACTTGGCCATAATCTAGGTGAAACCATGCAGCATGTAATTATACTTCGAAGACAAACCTCCACCTAGCATTTTAGTTCAAATCATCACTTTTAACCTTGGTGATATGCGAAACGTATTTTTACCTTGGCCATATCCTTCTATCTTCAAACTTCAAAAGAATTTTTCCTCTAATATTGTCACATTCGGATCCGTGGATTGAAAGGCAAGTTTTTATCTTTCAGGCGTTACAAGGTGGTTAAAGCTTTTGGTTGTTTAAGTTTTGTTTGAGGAAAGTAAAAATTCTATGCGCTAAGCTAGGTTGATCTACTTAGTGCTCTCGACTTAGTTGGTTGATTGTTTGCTAATTTTAGTTTTAATTGAAATTGATGGTA